GCTTGTAAACACTCTAGAAGGGACCATTCTTGACGGTTTTTAACGAAATTTGGCTTGAGTGTTGGTTATCACCCAAGGATGAACCCTATCGAAAATCAGAAAAAATTGAAAAATGTTTAGTATGAGTTATTGCCCTTGTTCTTGAAAATGCGTTCAATTTTAGCTTGTAGACACTCTAGAAGGCACAATTCTTGACGGATATTGACAAAACTTGGCATGAGTGGTGGTTATCACATATGGATAATCTGTAATGAAAAACATAAAATTGAAAAATGTTTAGTATGAGTTATTGCCCTTCTTCTTGAAAACGCGTTCAAATTTTAGCTTGTAAACACTCTAGAAGGGACAATTCTTGACGGTTTTTAACAAAATTTGGCTTGAGTGTTGGTTATCACCCAAGGATGAACCCTATTGAAAATCAGAAGAATTGAAAAATATTGAGTAATTGCCCTTGATCTTGAAAACTTGTTCAATTTGTAGCTCATAAAAACTCTAAAAGGCATGTTTCTTGCTGGATTTTGACAAAACTTGGTTTTATTATTCATTACCGTGCTGGAGATTGAATATTTGTCTTCTAGAGTTTTAACAAGCTAAAGATTGAACACGTTTTCAGGATGAAGGTTGAATAATTCATACTGGTGATTGTTACTGTACTGCCAAATATTTTTATTTAAAATCAAAGCTGTCGTGGGCGTATATTACCTTGCCTTACAAGCTATCTTAAATTCTGTCTGTACCTACTATTGTGGAATGCGTTCTGAACTCTGTTTCAACTTGTTTTATTGAACATTTTCTTTCCTAGAGTCACACTAAATATAGATTTTCTGATTATAGAAGTTTTCAAATTCATTGGTCAAATTTTTGTTGTCGTCCTATTTGTAATGTTCGTTGTGTATGCTAGGCAGCTATGACAGGTGTGGCACCAGACAGGGTATGTTTACTCTTATAGACACCTGATATCACTTTTCACTATAAAATATATATATTTACAGGTATTAGTGGTTATATAGCTGCCAATAATTTCAGGAAGATGGGAGGAAGTAACTGGGTTTGGAATATCAATTTAACATCCTCACTGTTTGCCTGTAAGTTATTTATATTTTGTCTGTTATTAACATCACTTGTCTTAACCAATGAAATTAGATTTAGTTTACAATATCCTTTACGTATTTTGTTATCTCCATTGTAATCTAACAAGATTTATACCAAGGTCGTGTACAGGTGACATTCGTTTCAACCAATCACAGCATCTCATGCAGAAACCATGTCTAAATATCAACTATGAATTGTGGGATAGAGAAACCTAAAGTAGAGTGATATGATATGACCAATGAGATTATGAAACTGTCGATACTCACTTGTAACAGGAATTTTGATTGGCCGGAGAGTGGTGCATGATTGTCTGCTATAGATAGTTTGAAATGTCAACAGTACACAACCTTGGTATAAATCTTGTTAGATCACAATAGAGACTGACAGCAGCCTTTTATTTGATCAACTTGACTAGTTTTAGAGGAGTCCACTGTTAGACAACTTTTACTCCTGATATGACCATACTTTAAACAAGATATCGTTAAAGTATCAAGCAGACATTATGTAGACGTATTTATTAGAAGTTAACCAATATGATTACATACAGTCGACTGCCAGACATAGATATTCATCAGT